CAGAAGGATTGGACAGATCAACTCTCAGACGATTCAGCCACCAACGGATCAAACAACCTATGAGACGATCAATCACACAGATACACAGAGCACATGCTCGAATACTTAGCGCATGTAGGAGCTCCTATCACTCTTGGCCCTTCAGTCTAGAGTCCGACCGGGCCTCTTGCACCCCCATCTTTCTTCCTCTCATTTATAACCCCACAACAAACTTCGAGCACCTGGGCTCAGGAATAAAGTCATCAACCGACTCAAACTGGACATATGACAAATTGCCTGAACTAGTATAAACCCTGTGTCATTGAGTGCTAGGCCACATCCTATCACAACGTACGACAAAACTACAAATATTTATGTGTTGGTCACTTTCTGCACCGACACTCGGTAACTCCTACTATACAGCCGTTACTCCGGTTTTTTCTCCACAATTTGTTTTCTCCAAGATTTCCACTTGTGGCTCGGGGACTGCGTCATCAATACGACTTGGTTCCTCACCGCACTGGGGACTTTCTTTCGTTGACTATTGTTTCTGTCCCTGGCACCACAAGACCACGTCACCTACTGTCAGGCTCGGGGACTAAGTGGGCACACTTCACCTTACGGTGAATGTGCTTTTCTCATTTCGAGGCTACACCCGGGGACTGGTTGCCTGCTTGGCTGGTCTTTTGCTTTTCTTCTACTTTGGACCCTGGCACCACGTGACTACGTCACCTACTGTTAGGCTTAGGGACTAAGTGGGCACACTTCACCTCGCAGTGAGTGTGTTTGCTTTAATCTAGAAGACTCCACGCCTCTTGAAGTTGAAAAAGAGTATCTCCCTTTCTCGTGGTCGGACTCTGAGTGGGCACACTTGATCCACTACGAGGAAATTTTCGATTTTGAACTTGAGCTCCTTACATCCTTATGGCAAGCCTTACTTGGGATACACTGCTCGACGATGATTCACACTGCTCGGCGATGGTTCACAACTACTCGGCAACTCATCACGGTGGTCGGACCATGAGTCTGACTTCTCGACTTTGTTCGCACCTGCTCGGACAAGCTCAAGACGGCGTTGTACAATGGATACAAGGTGCTCGAGGACTAGCTGTGGGGGGTACGACCCCGGATACCCATGGCATACCACATGGGTTGCGCCCCAAGGGCGGCCCAGCCCACAAGACGAAGCCTTGCGGGGCACGACGCTGCTCGGCGCGTCCCGTAAGACACCGAAAACATATGATCCCATGATTCCTGTAATATGTTATTACTTTCTGGTTATCTCCTAGATCTAACCGACTTGTAACCCTACCCCCTGGACTATATAAGGCGGGCAGGGACCTCCTTCAAACACATGCAATATCATACGATAGCCAATACAATCCAACATACCACAGGAGTAGGGTATTACGTCGAGCAGACGGTCCGAACCTGTCTAACTCTTGTGTCTCTGTTGTCTTCTTGTTCTCGATTACACGCATCTCTGCCGATCAATCTACCTTCGTGGGATATCCCTCGGAGGACTGCCGATGATATTCTGTCGACAAGGAGGTATATATATATACAACAAGAGTAAATGGAATAGAGCTGGAGAAGCCTTCTGTTGTTTCATCGGCACTAAAATTTTATCATCACTTTTTGAGTATCAAGATTTTTGCCATCAATTATTGTTATATGAGATTGTAGGCAATCGATAAATGTCAAAGGCATGGAGAAGCCTACATGAACAAATAAAATTTGCATCACCCTCCACGATGGACCGATAATTTTTTGAAAAAGAACATCTTTTGCAAATCATTGTGAGTTGTGACAGAACTACCATTTTCCCTCAAATTAATCTAACAGCAAGAGGAAAGTGTACTCATCATTGTACATGACCAAAACCATGACCACCGCAGTGCACTAAGAATCGAGACAAATACAATTGCCATGGTCATGTCCTCAGATATGTGGCACAAAATCATGAACACTGCAGCGTGCTAAGAAATCAAACAAATATCACTGACATGGCCATGTCCTCAGCTATATGCCACGACACATAGGTTGTCTCAAGATCCCAGCCGATCCAAGCAGGTGACAAATGCATAAAAAACTGCAGTAAGGCTTATTGGATTGTTGGATTGCGTCCAAATCACAAAGCAATGCGACCGCAGATTTAGTGCACTAAACCCTACATAGAGTAAGGAGGGAGAGTGTGTGTGTGTGTGTGAGAGGGAGGGAGGGAGCAAACCAGCGAGCAGACGGATCGAGAAGGAGCACGCGCGTACGGCGTGCAGGAGGCCGCGCAGGGGGAGCAGGGGGAGGCCGGCAGTCACGGCCACCGACGTTGCCCGCCGGCGCCGTGGCGTGCGGCCTGGGGGCGGCCACCGCCGGGGCTCGCTGGTGCGCCACCACGTCGAGAGAGAAGTAGAGAGGGAGAGGAAGGGGAAGGGGAGGCGCGGGCGGGGGCGACGGCGACGGCGGCGCGAGCGGCGGAGGCGGTGTGGTGCGAGAGGAGAGGGGGAGGTCGAGCGTGGGAGGGAGAGATTTTTTTTGGAGATGGGGGGCATCAATTTATCGGACATGAATTGGGGAGCACGTGGCTCAACTGTGTCCACGGGGAGGGAATTTCGGACGACGTGGCCACTTATATGAATTTCGGGTGACGTTGCTAGTTGGAGAAACCAACGAAAAACATGGGTTTGTAGGGGTTAATGGCATTTAAATAAGGCGGTCTCAAACATCGGAACCCGAACCCAAAATAGATGTCTAACACAATACCTATAGCCTCCAACAGAGTATCAATATGGAAGATCTATTTTAGGTGTCAGGCATAACCCAAATTTGAGTATCCTCTCTTCTGGATACCCATTTACGGAGAGAATTGTTTTTAGGTCTTGTTGTTAGAGAAGACCAAAAATAGATATTAAATCTTTTATCTGTAGCGTTCCTCAAAGAATGATTAGGTCTGATATTTTGGGTCGCGGTCGTTGAGGAGCGGAGGAGGGTAGAAATGGGAAAACGCGCTCTTCCCGCCAGAAACACTTCCGCTGGGGCCTGGGGGCTGCACCTGCACTACACCCGTCAGATATTCAGGGCCTTGTTTAGATTGCAAATTTTTGCAATCTGGACACTGTAGTGTGTTTCGTTTGTATTTGACAAACTTTGTCCGATCATGGACTAACTAGGCTCAAAAGATTCGTCTCGTAATTTACAACAAAACTGTGTAATTAATTTTTTTACCTACATTTAATGCTCCATGCATGCGTCCAAAAATTAATGTGATAGAGAGAGTGAAAAAACTTAGAATTTTGAGGCAATCTAAACAAGACCTAGGTCAGAGAACCCTCAAGAGCAAAGAGCAAAGAGGCAGCAGGCCATAGCTGTCGTCCACTTCCTTCTAGGCCTAGTTTAGATTGCAAGTGTTTTCATCTTTCACCGTCACATCAAATCTTTGGACACATGCATAGAGTATTAAATGTAGATAAAAAATATAACTAATTACACAGTTTGATTGTAAATTACGAGACAAATCTTTTGAGCCTAGTTAGACCATGATTGAACAATAATTATCAAATACAAACGAAAATGCTATAATACCAAATACTGATTCCTAACCCCAACCTAAACAAGGCCCTAGCGGCCTCGCCGCCCCCCGTTCTCTGGCCTGGGCCCAGGTACACCGCCTCAAACATCTCTTCCGGTCTTCTTCCCCTTCCCCTCCGTCAAAATTGTTTCACACCTTATTCTAAAATTGTTTCAGACCTTTATGGCTATCGAAGTATTCTATTGAAAAATGATTCTATAAAATAATGTTATAAAATAAACTAAGAGGCTGACTCAAAAAAGTACTATACTAGATTCTACGCTGGTTTTAAGTTATTATATTTCTTTCCATTTTGTTATACACCTAAACTTTATTTAAATAAAACTTCCATCATCTAAGAGGAAACCCCTTGCCTAACTTATCGATAATCAAAAGAATTTAGGATCATGGTTACAAGAGTACTATTAAGGATTATGGAGGCCGATAGGGATAACCGGATAAAGTCTTTGTGTAAGGTGGGCATTGACTATGGTAGTGATGAAAATAGATGGAACAAATCCTGTCCCATTTCTTTGTTTCGGTATTCGTAGAAAAATACGAAAACTAGATTGGAAACAGGATATGGTGTTTTCTGTTTGTGTTTTATGGGATACCGTGTTTAAGTGGGATACACCCATATTCATCTTATAACAAAACTTCTAACAGGTTGAATAGGCAACCTAAGTTTCCTAGCATCTCCTCCGTATCATAGACTCATTTTCGTGCTATAACTTATCATAAGTTTGGTTTCGATTATGCTCGCCACATTTTCTATGACAGTCCTAATTTGCCAAAAATCAGACATGATAAGTTTTGATCGTCAACAAAGAGACCCTTAGATATACCTTACGCTATATCATGTCTCAAACCAAACTCTCTTATTTTTTATGTCGACACAGCCAGAGAAAATAAATAAAATATACTCGTACAGTCGTCCTTGAAAAGGCAGGCCGGGGAGAAAGAAACGGAAAAAGGGAGATTTTTAATTATGTAATAATAATAAAATCCGTAAAAAAAAGGTGTGACTCAGCGACTGTGAGCAAGTAAAAAGGCACCGAATTTCGAAAAAACGGGGCCCATCCTCACACTCCGTCACACGTCTAGCAGTACACGCTGCAGCAGAGCACTAGAGGACGGAACGGCGGTGCCTGCCTCTGTGTCCTCTTCTCTCTCTCTCCTGCGCGATTCCCGAGACAAAGCCCCAGAGGGAGAGGGGGGCAGTGCAGGGCACTGGCTGGCACGCAGCCTCTGCGCCGCTCCACCCCTCCGCCACCGCCACCGCCACCACACATCCATCGCAGCGGGTGCCTGCGTCGTCTCTCTTTCTCTCGTGTGCACGCACACAGACACAGCCAAACCCCAAAGGCACCATTTCTTCCCCAAAGCCCCAAACCAAAACACCTTTTTCTCCCCCCAACCCGTGACGCCGGTGGAGGCCGCCGGATCGCGGCGCGCAATGCCGTTGCCGCTGCCTCCCGCCTTCCTCCCCTTCCTCCTCCTCTCCCTGCTGCTGCTGCTGCTGCTCCCGGCCGCTACCATTTCCACCACCCAAACAAATGCCACCCTCCCGTCGCCGCCTCTGTTTCCGCCTCCGCCGCCGGCGGCACCGCATCCTCCCCACCGCCACCACCACACCACGTCTCGTCGCGCCCCGCTGACGCCGCCGCCACCACCCAGCCTGCCCCCTACACCCACTCCCGTCGCCGTGCCGCCGGCACAGGCGCCGCCCCCGACGCCACCGCCCACGCCCACGCCAGCGCCGCCGGTCACCACGTCGCCGACGCCCAAGTACCCATCCTCCTCCGCCACCCCCTCCACCGGGGATCCATACCCCTTCACCAACAACCCCTTCTTCCCAACAGCCAACTCGCCGCCGCCTCCTCCCCCGGCCGCCGAGACCCAGCCCTCCGGCGACGGCGGCCTCCCGACGTTCCCCGCCAACATCTCCACCCTCGTCGCCCCGACCTCGCGCGCCTCCGGCTCCCGCCACTTCCCCGTGCTCCAGGCGCTGCTCCTCTCCCTGCTCTCCCTCTGCCTCCTCCTCCTCTCCGCGCTCCTCTCCATCCACCTCGTCCGCCGCCTCCGCCACCGCGGCGGCGCCCGCTCCGGCGCCGCGCCGTCCTCCGCCTCCGCTGCCCACCGCCGCGCCGCCAGCAACGACGACGACGACGACGACGGGGACGAGGAGGGACGCAGCCTCAAGCCGCCGCCAATGCCCACCTCCTCCACTAACCCCAGCACCGAGTTCCTCTACCTCGGTACCCTCGCCACCCCGCCGCCGTCGGGACCGCAGCACCCCGGGACCAGTTCCAGTTTACGCCCTGGCTCGCCGGAGCTCCGCCCTCTGCCACCGCTTCCGCGCGTCGGACCGCCGTCCGGCGAGTTCGCATCCCGCAGCTCCGCCTCCGACCCCAGCACCGTGCCTCCCGCCGCCGATGCCTCGTCCTCCTCGCTCTCTCCCTCCTCGCCGTCGGCCTCCTCACCCACGCTCGGCTCCAGCCCTGTCCATTTCCGCCCGCCGTCCATCCCCCAGCCGCGTGGCCGAGCCCCCAATCCTTCGCCGCCTAAACGGAGGCCGTCGCCGCCCAAGGGTGCTGCGGAGCCCGTGGCGGCGCACGCGTGGAACCCCTTCGTGCCGCTGCCGCCGCGACCAGCAGTTGCTTCGTCAGATGATGGTGACTCTGATCAGATGATGGACCTGCGCAAGTCGCGGCCTTTGCACTCGGACAAGCTCAAGCCCGGCTCTTTGCAGTAAGACCAAATATTCGCGTTCCCTCTTCTTCTTCTTCTTCTTCTTCTTCTTCTTCTTCTTCTTCTTCTTGCGGATTCGATTTGATGTCTGAGGTTGCCTCTCTCTGCCCTGTGTGCTATAGCATGAAGGACGAGGTGATCCAGCTGTACCTCAACAACTCGGCGGTGGTTGCGGCGCCGAGGGAGGTGTGTTTGCTTGGTGCCCTCAGGTGTCATGGCATCGGGATGATTGTGGGGGCATTGGGAGTTTCCAAGGAGCAACTGAGGGAGGCACTCTTGGAAGGTACATATGGATTGATCTTTGCTCTTATATATAAGGCAACCGAGGTTGAGTTTTCTCTGAATATGCTGACAAAGTTGCAATCTTTCTTAGATGATGAAAGTACTTAGTGTTTATTACTTGTGGGGGGGCCTTCAAATTGGTTGTGCCATTGGCCATGTTTGTAGCATCACATGGTGCCTTGTTGATTATGAGTTACATGAATGATTGTCTCTGATAGACGTTGGGGCCTTACCAATGGGCCACATGGCATGCTCCCTCCTACTATCTTACGTTTTGAAAAACCAGAGTTACACAGCCTGCTTTCATTTTAGGTGCATTGTCTATCTATTTCAGAGAAAGAGATCGCATATAGGGTACCATACCATTGGAGTGTTTTGTTGGCCATGTGTTTAACTTCTTCATGGGGGTCACACCACATTTTAGACAAAGTTGTCCTTTCAAGGGTGCACCACTCTTTGTTTTACATGTCTTAGCAAATCTGTTTTGGTTCCTGAAGTGGATCAATCACAACTTTCTTTAATCCTTCATGCTATGACTTTATGTGGTATGTTTGCTTGCTACTAACTGTAGCATATTTCTGTTTGCCGGGTACAGGTAATGCACATGGTTTGGGAGTGGAAGCCTTGCGGATGCTCACTCAGATGGTGCTCAGCAACGAAGAAGAGCTTAAGCTCAAATATTTCAAGGATGATTCCCTGAGCAGACTTTGCCCAGTTGATGCTTTTTTGAAGGCAATGCTGGATGTTCCATTTGCGTTCAAGAGAGTGGATGCCATGCTTTACATTGCCAGTTTCTATTTGGAGATCAATCAGCTGAGAATGTCATATGCTACTCTTGAGGTAATGCCGTGTTCTTTAGGGAATACAACACAATTATACTGGACAGAGATTGCTTCTGCTGAAATGATATCATGATTTTACCTTCTTTCGACTATCATGTACTCATATCTGAATGTTTAATCCATTTTATTTATTCATCTAGGGGGCTTGCCAGGAGATGAGAAGCAGCAGGCTGTTCCACAAAGTCCTTGAGGCAGTTGTGAATTTCGGCAATTTCATGAACACCAATTCGGGGTCTCCATGTTCAAAAGGCTTGGAGCCAAACACTGTTCTGAAGATAGCTGATGTGAAAGGAGCTGATGGGAAGGCTGCTCTCATGCAGTTTCTTGTCCAGGAAATTGTGAAACCTGAAGGATACAATGTGATGGAGCATGGTTCAGGTACATGCAAGATGAACACAAGCACTTTGCAGTATGATGCCGGATGCAGGAAGCGCGGTCTTGAGGTTGTCACCAAACTTGCAGCCGATCTGATCAACACGAAGAAAGCCGCGTCCATTGACATAACAAGGCTGAGCCGAAGCGTGTCGGAGCTCGGAATGGGGCTTGGGAAGGTCCATGACGTGGTGAGGCTGAACAGCATGGTTACATCCACTGAGAGCGCTCGGCGTTTCCACAATAGCATGAGCACGTTCCTGAGGCACGCTGAGGAGGAGATCCTGAAGCTTCAGTCCCAGGAGAGCATCTGCTTGTCGTCAGTGAAGGAGATGGCGGAGTGGTTCATTGGGGTGGAGTCAGGCAACGACGAAGCTCACATGTTCAGAATTTTCACTGGAGTGAGGGAGTTCCTAGCTATGCTCGACCGGATCTGCAAGGAGGCTGGGGAGGTGAGCAGCAACAATTGGGTCGGCGCCACAACAGTGAGCTGGATGGCTGCACCCATGGGGATGACGCCTTAAGCCGCAGGAGCTGCCTTGGCAAAATCTGTAGCTGTCCTTTTTGTAGAATATCATATCGAATCGAGCTATTTGGACTAGTATGGTTCCTAGTATTAGCAGTAGATGAGAACAATATCTGGATAATGTATGCTGGACACCCTGGCTATTGTAAAGTTCACTGTTACTGGTAATGGATGTTGTTGGTTTGCCGTCTTCTCCTTAATGCTGCATTGCTGCTGCTGTCTTCCTCTCAATGGAGCAGCCTGCTATTCCAAGTCCATTGGTGATGGCCCTTCTTCTGAATTCTGATAGTTTGGGCTCATGGATGTCTCGGTCAGAATTTTGTGTGATGACATGGTCCTTTATTTGGTTTGGGCAATAGACGAAGAACTTTTTTTTTTTTTTTTTTTTTTTTTTGTGACGTGCTTTTGATCTGCAACAGCAGGTTGGTTTGTATCGGTGCCAGATTTACAAGTCAGATTCTGAAGTCCTGAAGTCGTCTTCCTCCTTCGCCTCCAAGCAAGCAGCAAGCAGCCAAAGTAGTCGCCGGCAGCGGCTCCCCCGCCCCTCGCAGTGGCTGAGACAGAGAGGGAGGTCTGCAGAGACTAACGGCGATGGCGCCACCGTGCCCCGAACCCTAACTCCACTCCACCACCGGCCATGGGATCCCAGCCGCCGGCCTCCCGCGTCGCCCTGGAGCCCCTCGCCACGGTCGACCCCGCCGCGCTCGCCGGCCTCCCGGTCTCCTCCCCGCTCACCGTCCGCTCCGCCGCGCTCTCCGGCCACCTGCTCTACCTCGGCACCGGCGGCGGCAAGCTGCTCCTCTTCTCCCTCCAGGATCCCTCCACCCCCGAGTTCCTCCGCCTCCTCCCCATCGGGGCCACCCTCCCCGTCTCCGCCATCGTCCCGCTCCCCTCCGTCGTCCGCATCCTCGTCCTCGCCGACGGGCTCCTCCTCCTCGCCGACCCGCTCCTCTCCCGCCCCGTCCGCCGCCTCGGCTCCATGCGCAGCGTCGCCGCCGTCGCCGCCCACGGCGTCGACCCCGCCAACCCATCATCATGCTCCGTCGCCATCTCCGTCGGGAAGAAGCTGCTCCGGGTCGACCTGACTCTGCACGACGCCGACGAGCTGGATGTGCAGACGCGCGAGATCGCCTCTGTCGAGGGGGTCAAGGCGCTCGCTTGGGTCGACGACTCTGTCTTCGTTGCCACCGCCACTGGGTACTCCCTCTACTCGAGCACCACTGGCCAGGGTGTGGACATATTCTCGCTACCTGAATCCTCCGGCCACCCAAGGGTGAAGCCGCTCTCTGGAGGTGACGAGGTGATGCTCCTGGTCGACAATGTCGGTGTTGTGGTCGACAGATTTGGCCAGCCGGTTGGAAGCAGCTTGGTGTTCAGCACCACCCCCGACTGCATAGCCGAGGTGTTCCCCTATGTGATTGTTGCTGGGGACTCCAAGGTCGATGTGTACAGGAGGAGAAACGCCGTGCACCTACAGACCATTCCGGTTGCCAGGACTGGACAAGGCATTTTGATTGTGGCTAGTGATGATGACGGGATCGGCACGGAGCTAGTTGTGATCGCTACGACTTATAAGGTAACGTAGGTATGTCAACTCATCCATTATTCATTTGAACTTCTCCAAATTCTATTAGTGTTATGTGGTGCCACAACTGTTGGAAAGAAAATAACTTTACATTACATTGCATCCTAATTCCTAAATAGATGTAGTTTCCGAAGCACACAGGACTAGATGAGCAGGAAAGACTGCCTATATATGTGAATTTGGCATGGGTTGATAGCTAAAGGGTGTATACAACTGTGGTTAGCCTTTGGTTTTACTTTTACAAGGAAGGATGGTAGGTTACCTTGCAGAATCATAATGTTTGTATATATATATACTAGTTATAAGTTGCATAAATAAGGCTTGCCTTTTACATTCCCTGTACAATTTTAGTACCATATGTATAATTATCTAAGATTCTAATGTAAAGGAAAGGCTAATAGTAGTGGAACTGAGAATTGTCTGGCTCTAATTTACACAGATTATACTGATATAGGAATCAATTGGCTTATCCAGGTTTTTTGCTACCGTAAAGTATCTGCAGTGGAGCAAATTAAGGCATCTTTACGAAGAAAGAACTACAAGGAAGCTATTTCTTTGTTAGAAGAGTTTGAGTCTGATGGTGAAATTTCAAAGGATATGATCTCTTTTGTCCATGCACAACTTGGATTTTTGTTGTTTTTTGACTTGCGTTTCGAGGATGCTGTAAATCATTTCTTGTTATCGGAGACTATGCAGCCATCAGAAGTATTTCCATTCATTATGCGGGAACCTAACCGTTGGTCAGATCTGGTACGCTACATTGCCACTTGGTATTTGGGATACTGTATATGAGATAACTGATTTAGTTCCTTCTAAAGTAAATCGTGTACATCACAAGTTGTGTTCCAAAAGTACTTCCTTATCAAGTTGTCTTAACCTATTTCTTTGCATGAAAATTCACTCTTAATGCTTTACATTGAGCTCTTAAAATGATCCAATAAATCTGAATCAACTATTAATTTCTCTAGATGATCCAGCTTGACCCTATTTTAGCACAATAGTTGAGACAAGATTACAATAACTTGCTGAGCATGACCGGGTTAGAGTATTTTTGATTCCCCAGCTCATTCTGATGAGTTTTCAGTTTTTCGTTCATCGCTCTTTTGGCAACTTAATATTGATTGCTGTACCCTATATCTGTACCTACTGATTATAAGCTAGGGAGAAACCAAACAATCTTTCGTTGATACCTACTGCCTTCTACGTTTAGCTACTTGTTTCTAATGGTAACCGTTAACAATTATATCCATTAGGTGCCAAGAAAGCAGTATTGGGGTTTGCATCCACCCCCTAAGCCCCTTGAAGAAGTTATTGATGATGGTCTGGTAGCAGTTCAACAGGCATTGTTTCTGAAAAAGGCAGGTGTGGATACAGTTGTGGATGAAGGTTTCCTTTCAAATCCACCAAGTAGAGCTGATCTTTTGGAACTAGCAATCAGAAATATTATCAGGTATGGTATATGCACGGGTTATATTCATTGTGAATCACTGGGAAGCCATGTCTATCCTCAACTATCTTAATGCTAAATGAATCTAGGTACCTTTGTGCATCACGGATGAAGAATTTATCTTCTCCAGAGATGGAAGGAGTTGATACTCTTCTGATGTATCTTTATAGAGCACTTCATCTTGTTGATGACATGGAGAAGCTTGCATCATCTCAGAATAGCTGTATTGTGGTATGTACATGCCCTTTAGACATCTGCATCCGATGTGCTTTTGTATGTTGAAGTATTGAATTGACAGAGCACAATGGTCCCATCCTAATGTTTTCATCACATTTGAATGAACACTAAGAAAGCTGCTTGATGCATGGTGCAGGATGAACTAGAATCCCTTTTGGATGACTCTGGACATTTACGGACACTTGCTTTCTTGTATGGCAGTAAAGGAATGTGCTCCAAAGCTCTTTCTATATGGCGTTTACTGGCAAGGAATTATAGCACAGGTTTGTGGAAGGATCTGTCTGAGAATGGTTTCTGTGGAACTTTGGTTGGCAAAAGGTCTGGCGAGGAGATTGCCGCTATAGAAGCAGCCAAGATCCTCAAAGAATTGTCTAATGAGGACCTTGTTCTGGAACATCTTGGATGGGTACGCTTTTCAGGTAAAGAACTTGTTTATCTTATAACAAGTGTTTTATTACTGAATTTTATTTGTAGGTGGCAGACATTGATCAAGATCTAGCGATTGCAGTTTTAACATCTGAGACAAGGGAAAATCAACTCTCACCAGGTAATTGATATGTTCTGGATAGACCAATGTATCAGTGTGCTTTTACTACATAATCATGGCCAGACACATTTTCTAGTTTCTGAGCATGCATGTCAGAGAATGATGATAGGAACAGAGGGGTAGACTGTTTTAGAATAATTTTGCATGGTTATAGCTGATTGTGTGACATTTAGGAATGTTTTTTTTTAGTATTTGGGGGTTAGGTATCTTAAAAGGCTATTCTTGTAATAAAGTTCACTATCATTTATTTGAATAATGCTATTTTGCAGAAAAGGTTGTCGCTGCTGTTGATGCAGAAAAGGTTGTGATCCATCAAAGGTATAGATGATTGTCCGTGAACTTTTCAATAAGTTCAGATCTCTTAATTCAACAATCCAAATATAATGTGTTAGTTTCATATGAGTGACAAAAGTAGTAGGATTACTCTTTGGACATATTTGTATGGTAGCTTCTTAGTATTTGTTTTTGCAAATTAGCTCTAAGTATGCAACATCCTTATAATCAACTTTTAGTGGCCAAGTGTTTTACAGGACTTGATTTTGCCCCATGCTTTCAGTGAGGTTATAGAATCATTATGCAAATAGTGTTATTCCTTTACATGTTCTTTAAAACTGTTTGTCTATATCTTCTCCTGTATCTTGTCTCTTTGGCCACCTTCATTTGTCATTCATCAGCAGAGAATGCTATGTGGTAATGATTATTTTCTTATTATCCTTCTGTTATAAAAAGTCTGAACCAGCCAAATTGTACAGATATCTGCAGTGGTTGATTGAGGACCAGGGCTGCGATGACCCTCACTATCACACATCATATGCTCTTTCACTGGCTAAATCTGCGATTGAAGCAATTGATATGGAATCTAAATATAGAGGGAAAGACAATAGTGAAATTGATTCTCATGCACAATTTATTTATTTATTAAGAGAGAGCTTGCAATTGTTTCTGCAAGCTTCAGACCTGTATGATCCAGAAGATGTGCTCGATGTGATAGTAGAATCTGAGCTATGGCTGGAAAAGGTGATGTTACGATTTGTCTTCTTCCTGGCACTTCCATGTTTGCCTGGTTAAAAATCTTTCCATTAAACTCTCATGCTTGCCCGGTCATGCTATACTGATACTCTAGACTTTCCCTTGTCAGGCAATACTGTATAGGAAAATGGGCCAAGAGAATATTGTACTTCAGATACTAGCATTGTAAGATTCTATGCTCTTGGGTTTGCTTTTCTATATGTTGCTTTTCTTACATATTGGTTTGTTGTAGCCTGTAAATTGCTCTATTGAAATGTCTGCTGCTTGTTATGTGATGAAGGAAGCTGGAGGATAGTGAAGCCGCTGAGCAGTATTGTGCTGAGATTGGTCGAGATGATGCCTATATTCAGTATGTTCTTTTTTTTCACATCAATATTTCTAAATTAATTAACTTAATTTTTTTCTTCGTCTTTTTGAACAGAAATAATCCCTGCTATTTATGTTGTCCTTTTTTTTTTCAAACTCAGGCTTTTGGGTTTGTATTTGGATCCTCAAAATGGGAAGGAGCCTATGTTTACAGCAGCTGTACGACTTCTTCATAATCATGGTGAATCTTTGGACCCCATACAAGTATTGGAGGTATTACTTCATTGTTGCTTCAATATCGCAGATTCTTTTGAGAATCTTGTAGCTTGCATGCTAGTTTGCAAGATGTTGGTGTTCTGGCCTTCAGTATTTTAGGATGGCATATCAGTCATGTGAGGACTGGAGAGGACGGAATAAATATCGTGAAGGTAGTTGTTAGCTCTGGAAATGTGGTGTTCTGTTGAAAAGTGAGCAATTAAAAAAAAAAGGACATGGATACAATTGTTCCCCCCTTCACAATAGGATTTGGCATATCTGAACAATTTATTGACCTGTTGGCCGTTAACGTTCCAGTATAAACGTTCACGATCCTTTAAACATGGTTTGTCTAGTTTCCTATGAAACAAACTTGCCATCTAGGAGGCGATTAGAGTAAAGGTAATAAGATGATCTATAATCTCCTAGTACTGGTATTGGAAAAGAACAAATATGCAAAACTGATGTCCAACCATTTTTCTTGTACTACTGTTGCACACGATCCTAGGAAATGTGAGAAGTCTCAAAAAAGGTTACTGAATAGTTGATACCTAAGTACAAGGTACTCATTGCTTCATTAATTCACAATTAGTACATGCTGTAATAGCTGCAGGGCTGCCATGTGCATCTTTGTCTTTATGTTGTGCCATACACTAGTTTCTGGAAAACGAATCTAAACCATAATCTTGTGCCAGAGATTATCTCCTGATATGCCTCTTCAGCTGGCATCAGATACAATTTTACGGATGCTGAGGGCCCGAGTGCACCATCATTGCCAAGGGCAGGTGAACATAATTCTTTTTCCGTTTCTTTAGGGTGGAGTTTTCTGTATTGAGCAGTTGAACAGTGTTGTGGATCATTGCGTAGTTTAAATGAGTTTGTTTTAGGTTAAGCATTATGAGAGATGCGTCTTTCTTACCAGTTGAATTTCTTTGTTCTTTTGTGCTCCTTTGCATGTTTTAGATAGTCCACAATTTATCACGGGCGACAAACCTAGACGTGCGGTTGACAAGACTGGAGGAGAGATCAAGGCACGTGCAACTAACCGACGAGAGTATCTGTGACTCCTGTCGAGCTCGCCTTGGCACCAAGCTATTTGCGATGTACCCAGACGATTCAGTTGTTTGCTACAGGGTATGCCTACCTGAGGTGTTTTGAGTTTGCTGCTGATAGCAGTAGCTTGTTTGCATTGGAGGTTTCAGGTTTCTTTGTGTGTAATAATAATAACTTGGTTTTGCAGTGCTATCGGTCCCAGCAAGGTGATTCTTCATCAGGGCGTGGCCGTAGCTTGAGGAAAGATGTTATATTCAAACAGAGCTGGCTTGTCAGTAGATAGATAGCGAGGAAGGAATGAAAGAGTGGTTGATCTTGAGGCCAGCATTCGGCTGTGGCTGCTCGGAAATGGGCACTAAGTTTTTTGTGTCTGGATGGGCTCACTCTGGAAATTTGACCAGGGCGTTGTGTATTTTTTGCTGAGGCCAATGAATGAATATACAAATACAGGCATACCGCATACAGGAGGATGTGTAGTCTGTTATAGTAGCTGTAGTACATTGTCTGTAGAGACAAATAATGCTATATAACACGCTGATACGAGATTTGATAGCTGGAAATTGCAGATGACAATTTTGTGCGTCGTCACCAGTCACCAGTAGCCCAGAAATGCAAATGCCCCACTAGATCGCAGTGCTGGAGGTGTGTGAAACACGTTTTCGGAGAATCTGGATTGGAAACGAATGGGGTGGTCGTGAAAGTTGATAGCTAGACAGAGACACCAACAATCTGTTTGGAAAGCTGGATCTTAAGCAGGATGTCGTAGCTCTATGTAAACTGCCACAACTCACAACCTAAATACCTACTAATAGCCATCATTCTCTAAGCATAATCAATATAAATTACATCATTACATTAAACCAGTGGCAAGAGTCAGGATTTTGCACCAAGGTAATCCTTGTAAATAAATTGAGCCACACAAATGTACAATTAAAAGTAGGACCACAAGTCCATACTAATAACCAAAATGCAACTATGACATAAAAGTGAACATAAATCCATAGTAATAATCCAAGTAATACAAATGGTTGAAATAGTGGCACTATGGCACCATCTCTTAATAGTTCAGAAACATTACAAAAGCATTTGTGGTTCCAAGGAATTACCCTGCCGCAGTGCCGCCACCATTATGAACCTATTTGGTAGGGATTTTTTTCCTAGCTTCACAAAGCTGTTTTTAGCTTCTACCAAACAGATCATGATAAAACAACTTCTCTCAAAAATTCACTTTCCTCACATCCACAGTCCCCCAGGTGAAGCTAGATGAAGCTAAAATTATTAGATTCTCCTAGCTTTCTCTCTGCTATCTTTTCTGAGAAGTTGTTTTACCAAACATTTTTTTAAATAGCTTTAGCTTCACTAGTGAAGCCGCTTTAGGGAACTGAAGCCACAAAAGCTGTTGCGCTAGTGAATCTGAGTTGTACCACATAGGCTCTATATTAAACTAAGGATTCCAATATAGCAGGCTAAGGCTATCCGCACCGCAGCCTGTAAACGGACCTGCGCGCGCGATAGCGTGCCGTGCGCCTGCACCGCGCGTCTGCAAAGCAGCCGGTAGCGTACCGGCTGCACAGGCCGCCGCTATTTCCAGCGAGCTGAGAGAGGGAGAGTTAGGGAGAGAGAAAGGGGAGTGAGGGGAATAAAATATGGAGTAGCTGGTATAGAGTATAGGATAGAGATAATATGGGTGCGGGAGAAATAGGTATAGAGTAGAGAATCTCAATGACTAGGATAAAATATTCCTTTTTAGATATGGAAATAGAGGTCCACGAGTGCGGATAGCCTAAGCCCCTTTTCACTTCTTGGGGCCGATTCGGCGCCAAACCGCCACCTGTCCACCCTTTTAGACTGGCCACCTCATCACCTTGCTACATCAGTACGATCACATGGCTGGTTTCGCACCACTACTGGCCGCTAAACCATACTCTTACCCCTTGCGGTTAGACATCACGTGTCTTTCACGTGCGTGTAGAACCGTGACCAGATGCGATCGTACTTGTCTCACGTGCATGGTTAACTTTGTAACCCTTCATTCCCCTAAGGCCCTAACTGCATCTAGCCAGTGGGGTCTATCGTTATGTCATCTAGCCTTCCCCCAACACTGATCTCTCTCTTATCTTAGTTGCCTTGCCATGAGCTTCTTGTTCGCCACGCCACGTGTTGCCACTGTCTACCGCTATCCACTTAGTCGGAGTTGTTGCCCCTATTACTGCAGGTAGCCCTCGAGCCCTTTCACACTAGAGAATCACACTAATGAGCTTGTGCCTTCCTCCCCATGAAGGTGCAAAGGACACTTGGTCCTGATAGTGATCTCCTAGCACCATCATATGCTAACACACGCCCCTTTCCCGTGCCCTCCGCCATACATAGCGGTACGGTGAGCCTCACCTCCATCCCTTTTCTCCTCACAATCATGGTCGTCGCAACCAAGGACAACATGGACATTGCCATTGTCTTGCCTTAAAACTTCGATGCATGTCAAACCTGATTAGCAAAATTCATTTCCCACATCACCTGGAAGGTTTAGAATTAAACCTTGCCATGAGTTGTATCAAAGATCCTAGGGGGGTTGGGGATGTATTGTTGTTGTTGGTGGTGGTGGTTAGGCTATCCCTTGGGTCGGTCCAATTGCCATGGGACATGGTAAGACTGGTGGTAGTCACCCCAGTACAACCCCAATAAGTGGTGCTTGTCCTTCTAAACCCCCAAGTCCGGCTGACCGTGGTCCTTTGTCGATCTAACTGACCCATGGGTCTAGAACTTTCCTTGTTCTATAACCTAGCTTGTACCCTTAGGCTAGTCTAATCGCCAACCCACCTGATATTACACAATGTTGCCTTTAAGTTGATGTAGTTGACCAAAGGGCCATTTTCTATTACTTCTCATTCTACATGGGCCTTGTTTAGATTAGGGTTACGAATCAGTATTTGGTATTGTAGCACTTTCATTTGTATTTGACAATTATTATCCAATCATGGCCTAACTAGGCTCAAAAGATTCGTCTCGTAATTCACAATCAAACTGTGTAATTAGTTATTTTTTTATCTATATTTAATACTCTATGCATGTGTCCAAAGATTTGATGTGACGAAGAGAGAGTGAAAAAACTTGCAATCTAAACCAGGCCATGATCGATGGAGATATATACGAACGAGGAGTGGAACCGATTCTATATAGTTTGTTTATGTACTCTAATGCTATGAGAGAGCGCTGAAAACTTTGCATTAAGAAATCGATGAAATGTGATGTAAACTTGGATATGGTTTTGTGAAACTTGAATGTTAATGGATGTGTTGTGACGATCTGTGTATGGTATGTATAAAACATGGTTTATTGTGATGTTCTTGTGCTTGTGAGGTGTTCTTAATTTGTTGATGTCCAGCAGGTATGGATTGAGACACATCCCATGGAACATTGGGATTGTTTTGCTTAAATCGGGTGGATCAATGTAAGAAAGTTGGTCGATTTATTAATATGGATGATATACAATTAACGCGGTTTCTTGCATACGCCGTAAAGAGACTTGGCGAATGGAGATTGAACTTATTTCCGAGCTTTTCAAGAAGAAATGCAAGCACTAATGGATGGGATGATCATGCATCGATGAAGTGGATTATTGGAGAAGGCTCGCTCCTGACCTGACGCCTACCTCGGAAAAGCGAGGCCGTACATGAATGGAGCAATTGGCCCGTCAGTGTCTCATGTCCATACATCAACGGAAAGGCCAAAGTAAAGCGAGGGGAGCAGCAGGAGATGGAGCAGAGGCATGCCAGAACCCACTCATCGTTAGGCCTTGTTTAGATTATAAATTTTTTTAATTCGGATACTGTAGTACATTTCGTTTGTATTTGACAAACTTTGTCCGATCATATACTAACTAGGCTCAAAAGATTCGTCTCGTGATTTACAACCAAACTGTATAATTAACTATTTTTTTTATCTACATTTAATGTTTCATGTATGTGTTCAAAAATTGATGTGATGAAGAGAGAGTGAAAAAACTTAGAATTTTGATGGGACGTAAACAAGCCTTAGCTAGCTATTTGCCTATATTATAATAATTATTAGTGATGATCCATGTCGTCATAAGTTAGGTTACACACTGCAATACTACACTCCTTTATTTCTCGCTAGCCTAGCTAGTAGCTGCTACTCCTCCTTGGTAGTAGCATAGCATGAAGGAAATATCTGATAGATGATGATGCAGCATGAGCAATGTAATGTGCATGCACAAGTGACCGTCGCTGCCTGCCCAGCAGTCCGGCCAGCACACACATGACACATCTCATCAATTCGATCTCTCGCACGAGCTGAGGTGCAGTGGTTTCTGCAACGCATACATGTCTGCATCCCTGTCCTCCACTGCCCTGCACTTTTGCAATGTTTAATGCCAGTGGAGCCCTGCTTTGACGGAATGGAAAAACATGAAGGGAGCAAGTGGGCCATAGTGATTTAACGCAAGGGAAACAGATTTGACGCGATGCATGGCTTCTTCACGAGCGCAGAGTGCGCCAGCGTTGTCGCAGTTGTGCACAGCGGATCGGATGACACGAACAAAACCGCCTCAGAGCAAGTTTCATACGGTTTTCAACGCGTGGGAAACAGCGCTGACTAATTTCACGGCCATAAAATTCTAGGCCGCGTTTAGTTCCTTGCAGAATCGGCGCCGCCGGAATTCTCCGGCACTGTTCTGTTACTGTAGCGCAATGTAGTATTTCGTTTATATTTGGTAATAATTGTCCAATCGTTGACTAATTAGGCTCAAAACGTTCGTCTCGTAAAGTACAACCAAACTGTGCAATTAGTTTTTTATTTCGTCAACATTTAGTACTCCATGCATATACCGCAAGTTTGATGTGATGGGAAATCTTTTTTTTGCATAGCGCCAAAATTTAGATTCTGGGTAACTAAACAAGGGCCTAATCCTTTCTTTCTTCATCCATACATGCAAAACAACAATTTTTACTGACATATCACTTCAATTAATACCCATAAAACCTCCATGATATTCCTATTGAGACTGACCTAAATACGCAAGTGCCTATTGTGCACTCCTAAATAATACCCTCGTGTTGTTGTACTCCGTGATGCCATGATCTTATATACTTCATGAATATAATTAAGCTTTCTTGTGGTATACATTATCAAGTTCATATATACTTGTATGCAATATTGTATCACGATAAATAAGTGCCTATTGTGCACTCCTACTAGTATACGAAGGGACTATAGTCCCGATTGGGAAAGGAATTTTGTCTCGGTTTTTCAACCGGGACTAGAGTC